TACATGAGCTAAATAATATGGAAAGAAGATTAAATAGTAGATTGACAACTTTGATATTGGTGCCATGAAACATTTGTCTCCAGATGTATTTACAGCGAGGGTGTTTTCTTGGGTATAGTTGTTAAGGAAAGATCGCTCATAAAACTTCAGGATTCTGTCGTTTTAATACTTTTCTGTGATTTTTTTCTGCTACCATAGCTCAAAGTAGTCAGTCCTTCCCTATGTGGACATTCATGTCAGTGGATCATGCTATGGTTTGATCTCTGTCAGTGAGTTTAAAGAGCAGCTAAGAGTGTGATTCATCAACACATCTCGGGGAGTTTTTGTTTTGCTTTCTTTATGAAAAATACATTATTTCTGAGTACAACATTCGAAGGAGTGTCCCTGGATCTGCATCTAGCTGCTCACCAATCACAAGCTCAGTAGACAAAGGTTTGGGAAGGAAGGGAGTCAGTTTTATTAAGTGTCAGGCATTCTGAGAAGATAGGAAGGCTGTGTCTTCAAAGCTTCATTATAGGTAGCTGGGTGCTGGAAGGGTTTTTTTAGAGAGGGGGAGAAAAGAGCAAGACAAGTTGCAAGAAGATTAGAAGAGCCCACGGTCGTCCTTGTTAAGGGCATGTGTCTCCCTCTTCTGTTTGTGCTTCTGTCAGCCTGACCCCCGAGGACTTGTTCCTGTAGTTCCTTAAGCAAGCATGACTTTTTTGCAAAGTCAACTTCACAGCAGTTGACACACTTTGTATCCATTGAGGAGTAGATTAGAGATTAAGAATAGTGTCCTGCTCTGGTGTAATTTGAAACTCACCATGTTATGGGTTTTATAAATTTACAGAAAGGTTATTCACCAGTTACCACTGTAATAATTTAGGTGTGGCTTCTCTTTAGACAGTGAGCCATAGGAAGGGTAAGTAACCTTGCACAGGGCAAAGGGAAGACTACCCACAAAGGAGTGGCCATCTCTTCAGGACTCTGCATTTCTCTGTTCCGGATTTTCGATGGCAGCAATACAGCTACTTTCTTCTTTCTAATTTCTACATAACTTTCTTGAGCCCGTAGCTCACATTCCTGATTGTTCAGTCTCTTCTGCCTAGCATTGACTTTCCTGTGTGGTTTAAGTACCTTCCTGGAACTTGCAGTGGAGTATGTCCTAAACAAACGCGTTGCATGTCATCTCTACTTGTCTCAGTGACACTGTGTTCCTATCAAGACTTTGTTTTGATGTCTTCATACTTGTGACCTCTTCATTGCAGTAATTGCCTCCCTCTATGTGACTGAGATCTCCTAAAAAGAAGCCCTGCCTGTAAAAGCTGATTGACTGATTAGGACTCTAGTGATGTGGAGAGGGTGGTCATCTGCAGGCCATCCAGAGGCTGATGGCCTTGTCTTAGGTTAGCTTTAGCCCTGGTGTAAATTCCTTTCCCTCCTCTGCCAGAACTAACGTCCTGTAGCTATCTAATGATAGAGAGGTCGTGACAGCAAGATGGGGGACGCTTTGCTATTGGCTTCAGACGCTATCTGATGACATTCTCAGCTTTTGGATTGGGGCGAACTAGTGGTCTGCTGTACCTGTCTCTCTGATGTACCTACCAATGTATTTTAAACTTGCCTCCATTTATGACTTTCTTTGTTCTGTAAACCTAAGAAACTGTTTCCTCATTGAAACACGGAATTTGGGGTAACCTAAATCTTTGTTCCCGGGCCACGGTCACTCAAAATAGCTCCAGAATGAACCCCCTCTTACTCCCTTTCAGATGAGAGCTGCAGTTTTTATGTCAACGTCCATAAGACTTCTTCACACTTTCCACCTCATCTTGTTCGCCCAGGCCACGGCTCCTCTCTCTCTGTCTAACGTGATCGTCTGCTCGTGGGCCTTTCCAACCGGACCCACATGATCAATCTTACTCTCAAACTTTTTAGTGTTTTTCCATTGCCTGCTATAAAGCCCCATGCCTGGCACTTGATGCTGGCCACATTCCTCAGTCTATAGCTGGTGCTGTCTTCCTTCCCTGTGGGATCTGCTGTCCTGGCCTGTGTAAGAGTGCTACAGCACAGGCTTTCCGAGAAGTAACTTTTTTATTTAATCTCTGCCATACAGGGGATAACGTGGGGCTTCACTCTGTTACTGCGCTATTTCCCCAGCCCTTCATTCATCTGTTGATGGTCCTAGGCACTGAATCCAGGGCCCAGTACTTGCTGGGAAGCGTTCTAGTGCTGAGTCACTGTTTCTTCCTTTCGAAGGTGTCTTTGTCAAAGACCAAGAATAAGGAGAGCAACAGCTGTAAAACTTTGAGAAGACACCTGTAAGTCTGTCTCTCTAGTATTAGATACAACCCTCCACCTAACGTGGGAGGTGGAAGAATAACCAGATAATGGCTACTGTTTCCTTGGCTCACTGCTTTCCTAACCTGAAAACAGACGTCTAGCCTCTTGCTCTGCATGCCAGATTCTTTTCTATGGTTCAGATTTTTTTTTTTTATTAGACATCCCCGACTCCTCCAGCCTTTTTGAAGCAGTGTCACAAAGCATAAGTAGTTGGAGCTCCCAGCTCTAATTTGGGACTCTCTGTAGGCAGACCCTAAGTCTTAGCTACAAAGACTGTTCTAAAAAGCTGGGCAGAGTGGCAGGCACTTGTAATTCCAGCAATGAACAATGGGAGGTGAAGGGCAGAGGGCCCCCAGCAGCTCGAGGACAGGAGGGCTCCCTGGCCAGCTTAGTCTAGACTGTTGGGGAAATTCCAGGCCAATAACAGATACTGTCTCACAACAAAAAGGGGGAGGTGACTGAAGATTGACACTTGAGGTTGCCCTGTGACTTCCATCTGCATGTGAGCACACATGAATGCATGTGCACACACATATATGTGTATATGCCATATGCTAGACACATATCTACCTTGTACATGACTGACCACTCAGATTACTTATTAGAGATATAGTTGATTCTGAAACGGACTTTTTCTGAACAATGTATTATTAATTTTAGTTTTAATAAAATATTGAAGTAGGTGCTTTTAACACACAGAAGTATGTGTCTCTTTTAATCATTTAATTTTGTCAGTGATTAACGCAATTTTTGTATTGCATGTCTATGGCGGCTGTCTTTCATGGGGCTCCTCCTGTCTTGTTTGAGGCGAGGTCTCTCGAGTTCCTGTTATTGTGCTGTGTACTCTGCACTAGCTGGCCAGTGAGCTGCCCGCTTCCGACTGTGCTTACTTTTTCACTACAATGTGGGCTGCCGGTTCCTGCTTCTGAGAGTTTCATGGGCTTGGGGATCTGAAGTGAGGTTGCCAGGCTGGCAAGCGCCTTACCCTCCCAGCCATCTCTTTAGTACATAATATACTGTTGTTCTTCAAATTGTGTTGCTTCTTTGAGAATTTAAAATTTTTATTTTAACCATGTGTGTATCAAAGAGGGTTTTTTTTTAAATTTTACAAAGGAAATTCAATTAAAAATATAAAAAGTTCATGGCAAATAGTTCTTTCCAGAATCGTGACTCACACAAAGAGGAAGAATATAGATGCTTTAGGCAGGAAACAGACCTGGGCGGCCTTTGTTGCAAACCCGAAGGGCAAAGGGGGCCCTCAAACCTCATTTCAATTTGAATAAGTGTCTACCTCTCTGCTTGATACCAGGGAGGTACATGTACCCTCTCCCCAACCATATATAGTCAAATATATATGTATGTGTGCGTATATGTGTACACACACACACACACACACACACACACAGAGTCTTCCTGTTAGGTCTTCACTAACAATTGTGATCAGTGAGTTAAGGGTATTTGCTTTTAGGAGCTGGGTGGTATAACTTCAGGGTAGAGCACATTCCTAACATGTGTGAAGTCATGGGTTCATTCCCCACCACTGCCAAAAGTCTCCTAAAGCATAAGCTTTCAGTCAGGCAAGCCTAAATCATCATGAAATTGGAAGACCTGACCGGTGATTTCTCCGTGGGGCTGGCCTCTTGCCTGCAGCACTTCCAGGGCCATAGGCTGCTCTGCTTTTGTTGTGCGCTTGTCGTTTTGTTCTTTTGGTCTTTTGTAAAGCTGATTGATAAGAATTATCTCACTGAAGGTGTTTGGAGGAAGAGATAAAAAGATGGGCTTCGTGTGCTTCTGCCTGTGGGGCTATTTCAATCACCTCCGAGAAAGGAGCACATTTGTCTGCCTGTCTGAATCTGTCACAATGAAACCCCTTCCTTTGTGAGTCCACATAAGCTAGAATAAAGGCAATGATGCTGGCAGATGAATTACTTGCCAGGCAAACACGAGGACCAGAGTTTGGGTCCCTAGCACCCAGGTAAATGCCCGGTGGGTGTGGTGGCTTCCTGTAAACTGGGCTCTCCGGACAGAGACAGGGAAGCCCTGGGTAAGCAAGCTAGCTAGGCTGGCAGATGGGTAAGCTGTGTGTTCAGCTGAGAGACCCTGCCTCAATGATTTGTTTGGACAGAAGCTAAAAAAAACTCCTAACATTAGCCTTGAGCTTACATGTGTATGTACATATAAATAGTACACAGACAATGACAAAAAAAAAAAAAAAAAAAAAAAGAAAGAAAGAAAGAAAAGAAAAATCAACAGTAAATGTCCAGGTAATAGGATATGTTAATTACCCTAATTTGATCATCACACACTGTGAGCATGTATTGAAACGTCATATTATGTCCCACACACTTGTGGGAGCGTTATGGGATAATGTAAAATAACAAAATGTAAAGGTATAATTAAAGAAAGGAATGGTCATAAAACAAGTAAACTACGCATACACAAAGCACCTGGTCTATAAAGTTCCCTGTATCTGGCTGTGAATGCTTACAGTGAGGTAAATAAAGGCAAGAAACTGATTTCCCACTGGGCATTACGAAAAGCCTACAGTCTCAGCTGTGAGGCATTTTCTTAAGTTTAACCCAGGGTCAATACTTTTGAACTATGATATGTTTTAACTAATCCACATTGCAGTTTCTTTTAATGGATTAATTAGTTTCATTTGCATTCTCTTTCTCCCTCAGAAATTATCACATGTATGAACGATAGACGCTGAGCTTGCTGCTTCCCTAGCGACCTTGAGAAGACTGACTCAGGGTGGTGACCTTTGAGAACCAGCTCTTTGACCTTCCTGTTGGCGCTGCCCTTTGGCTCTTGGTCCACGATGGAGACACTCTCCCAGGATTCCCTGCTGGAATGTCAGATCTGTTTTAATTATTATAGCCCGCGACGGAGGCCCAAGTTGCTGGATTGCAAGCACACCTGCTGTTCGGTGTGCCTCCAGCAGATGAGGACCAGCCAGAAGGACGTAAGGTGCCCGTGGTGCCGTGGCGTCACCAAGCTGCCCCCAGGCTTCTCTGTATCACAGCTGCCCGATGACCCCGAGGTCCTGGCAGTCATCGCCATCCCGCACACTTCCGAGCACACCCCAGTCTTCATCAAACTTCCTAGCAATGGGTGCTACATGCTGCCCCTGCCCATCTCTAAGGAGCGCACTCTCCTGCCAGGAGACATGGGCTGCCGTCTGCTGCCAGGGAACCAGCAGAAGTCCCTCACCGTGCTGACCATCCCTGCAGAACAGCAGCCCCTGCAGGGTGGAGCTCCCCAAGAGGCCGTGGAGGAGGAGCCCGACAGACGGGGTGTGGTGAAGAGTTCCACGTGGTCTGGCGTGTGCACTGTCATCTTGGTGGCCTGTGTTTTGGTCTTCCTCTTGGGCATCGTGCTACACAACATGTCCTGCATCTCCAAGCGCTTCACTGTGATATCCTGTGGTTGAAGCCTGTCACAGGGATGCCTTTTGTGGGTGCCAACTTAGGGGGTAAGCAGGTGTTGGCGATGGGGTCCCTGTGATGGGGGTGACACACTGACCATTTGGTGCAAGCGCTGGCCTCCGATTGGCCACTTGATTCACCTGAAGACAAGAGCAGAGGGTGAGGTCTCAGCAAGCTCCCAGGAGAACTGTTTGGAGATGGTGACAGCTGTGAAGATGTGTGCATGCTTCCTCATAATTGTGTATTCAATGGGCTGTAATTTATGATTTTCCAAAATCGTTTTCCCAAGTTAGGCTTTTCTACTTAGACATGAAACTGTACACGTGGGTGCAATGAGCTCTCTCAATACGGTAGATTGTAGGTTAAAACAGATGCTGTGTGCCCAAGTAGAATTAAACCTCAAATCCATGCTAAAAGAAAAAAAAACTAGTGAAGACACAGAGCTGGGGTGTGTGTGTGTGTGTGTGTGTGTGTGTGTGTGTGTGTGTGTGTGTGTGTCTGCAGCCTGGTCTTCATGACCTTTTTATACATTTTGAATGACACCCAAATCAAAATAAAACAGAGCTTTTGGTTGTTTGAAGAAGGTATTTGAACAGGTGTCTCCAGTGTCTTGTGTATTGTCGTGTTCCTTCATTCCTCCTCATTTGTGATTAGAGCTTGCTACGTGTTTGTTAAGCTGGAAGCCCAGTAGGTGAGTGATGAACTGGGAAACAATGGGAAATGCCTAATTCCCCAGGAAACCTATATGCCAATATTTCTCAAGCCATCCCACGAAATAAGAATTTAAAATGTAAATATTGTGAATCTGTGTGTGTACTTTGTGTGTGTAAACTGATTTACCTCAGATGTTTGAGTTTTTCCTGAAGAATCCTGGGAGGAAGACTTTGCAGGCATGCACAAGCCTCATGTCTAAAACACTGACCTCCTCGTCAGTGCCTGGATCTTCCCCTTCGAGAGTCCCCCACACATCTCCTGCAATACCCACTGGCTGCTCTGCTGTGTGAGGTCCTGTGTCAGTAAGACACGGGTGGGGAATGTCAGGAGAACTCGTCACTTCCCCCAAGTTTGGAGATTGTTGTGTGAAATTCACAACTGTTGCTTACTGATGGCACACCTAGACAGGCATTTTCATAGACAGTCCTTGATCGTTTTTCAAGATGTTCCTGTAAGAGTTAACCTGTTTAGAATTGCAATTTCATCTTGTTGGAATCAGCAAGAAAATGTTTTATGTTTCAAAATGTTTCTACTGACAAAAGTAGCATGGCAAAGAAAAACTGGTGTTCCCTGTGTAAGTGGACCAGTTTCTCCTGAGTGCTCAACTGTTTTGAAATGTGAATTCATGAAGAAAGATTAGTTAGGCTGAAAGGATCAGTCCCTGTCCCTGGCTGTGTGTGCATTCAGAAATAACTGTCAGCTCGATAGTCCTCTTTGAACTCCTTTTGTGATATTGTCAAGGAATCCACTCTTTGCTGTTCTTTTGAATCCCTGAAATGGTAGGAAGGATGGGAAAAGCAACGGAAAGATAAGCAGTGACTGGCGGGCTCTCCGAAGCAAAGACAGAAGCAGTCCTGTAACATGGAGGCAGCGTATTGGCATGCTAGCCTTCATCTTCATGCAGCACAGCAGATGTGTACTAAAGTGATGGCTTTGCTCTGGGAAAAAAAAAAACCCAAAGAATAATAGCTAGAACACAAAGCTGACAATTGGCACGAAAATTCAACATCAAATTATGAGCTCTAGTTTTTTAAATCTTTCAAATTTGTAAGACCTTTAGAAAAAACTGTATTTGAGGGCTCAAACTAGAAATTAGGTTAAAATACCATTTTATCTTGTAAGCTATTGGGCATTATACAACAAATAATCTAGGATTTATTTGGCATTAATAATTTAGGTATCATATTATCTGAATACTATCCTCTATTATGTAACATAATATACTGTTGGGTTAGTATCAATTTCTCAAACTCCCAGGCTGCTATAATGCATGTCTGACCTAATTTCTATCTCACTTGGAGGGGAAAAGATACATAGACAGAAATGTTGCATTAAGGATGGTACGTTCCCAATGGACTTTACCCTAGCAATTTTAAGACAGGCCACATTTAAATTAATTTGTGAGAGCTATCTACATACCTTTCTACACAGTAGAAAAAACGACTGATCCTATAGTGCAATGTGTGATAGGGTTCTAGCTGTTTAGGAGGCCATTTATAGACACTAATGTATGTGTTAATATGGTGTCCTGTGTTTTTTATTGCAAAGTTGTAGAGCAAAAATGTCCACAGACCTGTTACTTAACAACAGTTCATGCTAGAGCTGCAGTTAAGCAAAATCGGTTGCTCCCTGGTAGATCCTTGACCTTACAACCTGACATTCAGAGCTTCTGTGTGTGGGCTTGATCTAAGAAACATTATTTAACACTGTTGAACTAGATTCTGCCTGTAGTTTGCATATGTGCTTGTTAGGATTTGTGTATGTGTGTCGGGGCGGGGGCGGGGGGAGAGAGAGACCTGCCAATTTCTATATACTCAATGTTTCAGCTTTTTCTGGAATTTACCTGCAATGCTAAAAACCTATCTACCCATGTGACACAAACAACCAGGGCTGAGAGTCACACATCAGTGGCAAGCACAGAAGTTACAGCTGAAAGGAGCCTCTAGTGCTTCATCTTGTAGATGAGCTCACTGTGGAGGAGGGGGTGGGAGTGGAGAGGAGTGTACAGTTGGTAACTCTGTGGCTAGAGGATAAGACCTGTGTACTGCTGTGCCCTGTTACCCCTCCCTTGCATGCCACCTTCTCTGTCAGGCTATGATTCTTTACAGGGTCTATGAATACTCTTTGCTATGTCAGCTCTCGCTTTAAGGGTTGTTTCAGAGATTAATTTCTTTTTAGGTATCGTCCTCTCTGGGAAGAAAAGAAGGGTTGATTTAGTGATGAACACAGCTATTGAAAGAAAGCTTCCAAACTGTATGGTTTGAATATGTAGACGTGTGAAACATTGTCCAGGACCCTTTCCCCCATATATCAAGGACAATGAGTGTTGTGTAAATAGTAACTTATAAGAAGCATGAATTTCCTCTTTATTAATGATCTTGACATAAGCAAGAGAATGCTTACCATGCTGAGTGGAGCCAAGTGTGCCGCCTCATATGCTGTCTCTAGAAAATTTTTGTATAATGCCCTGGGACATAAATTGTGATGACGTAGGCAAACTGGCTCTGAGTTTCAATTTAAGGTATTTTCTTTAAATATATAACTCAATCTCACCCCCTGCATGACCGCAGAGTGGGCCTGGTGGAGTGTCATCTGTGTGTTGGTTCAGTTCTTGGAATTTCCTAGGTCAGTGCTGTTGGATAAGTGGAAACCAGTCTGTAATCTGTGCTGTCCAGTCGAATGGCTACTAGTCACATGGTTGTTGGGCAATTAAGTGGGGGAACGACTGCAGAAGTGGCATTTAAATGGTATTTAATTTTAAGTAATTTAAAGTTCAACATTCCCATGTGGCTTGTGGCTACCACATTGGTCATAATGACATCAAGAGGTTCACAAAGTAACAAGGCCAAGAGAGTTTGCAGGCTAGTAACAGTTTCCCAAAGAAGATTCCTTTCTAGGCTTAAAGAAGTTTATGAGCTTGGGGGTGGGAGGTGATAATAAAATCTCATCCATTGTCCTTTGGGGTTATTATTTAGATACTTTGGACAAAGGTATGAACAGTAAAATTTAGAGAGAGCTTTATTAAGCCCCTCTTCTGGGGCCATTAACTGCATGTGAATCTGTTGTCCAAAGCTCATAGCTAGGTAGTAGCTGTAAAATTTTGACTTGCAAGCTGTGCATGACCTGTGCTGTGAAACTGTGTTTAGGGTCTTGTGGCCAAAAAGAGTCAATGTTACAGAAAATCAAATAAATAAGAGTCTGATGAAATCCCCGCTCACTTCTGATCTCTTTCCCGACCTCATCACTGTATCAGTGAGGTGAGAAATCCAAGAGTACGCTGCTTCCTGGTGTTCGGAGTGCTTGTGTTTGCCCTTGAAGTCAGCCAGCTTGTCATTGTATTTGGTGTGGACATATGTGGGTGTAATTTTCTGGATGCCAAGCTAAAACAGAGGCACTATTTTTAGAGTGAGATGTGACATTGTTTTAGTGTCTCTCTTTTTAAGTTTAGTTATCATTAAAGGTTTGAAACTTTGCACAAAGGCACTTTTACATTTTTCATAGTTAAAAAAAAAAACAAAACATGGCCCAGTAGAATTTAGAAAATGAAAGGTTATTGCAACTACTCTATAGAATTACTTTTCAGTAAGTAAAGGGAAGCAGAAAATTCAGCTTGAGATTCATTTTTTTATATAAAGATCAGACTGTTGCTGATAGTCTGGCATTTAGTCATGCTTAGATTTGGGTTTAAAGTGCTCCTGTTCCTTCATCTGAAAATCTCTGCTGTGTCAAAATTGCTTAGCCTGCCTCTCCATTGCTCTCAGTGTAATAGCAACCAAGCATGTTTGCTTTAATGGAGCAGAATTGGGCTGGGTTTCCAGTTCTGCAGCGTTCAGGAGGAAAGACTACTCCTTGGGGCCTGTCTTTAACTTGTATCTGTATGTTGGCCAAATGTTATTTTCTTATGTCTTTTAGTTAGGAGGGCAAAAGTTATTCATATGCTATGGGTTATACCCACATGACTGCAGCTCCTCTTTCCTAGAAGAATGATGCTATGGACCAGGCAGCATTTTATAACCACACCAGAAGTTGACCAACTCTCACCGGCGACCTAGATGGAAAAGTTGCTTTTTGACATTTCCACCATACTCAGTAAAACATCTCCTGCAAGATAACCCTTACCCAAACAGAAACTCTAGGCAACACTCAAGATAATTTACTCATGGTGTCTATTTGAAGGAGACAGTTGTTGGATCTTTTTCAACCTGAAACTCTTGAAAAATAAGTGGAAATTCAAGCCATTTTTTTTCTGACACAATTGACTTACTACACTATACTACACACACACACACACACACACACACACACACTTTAGCTGTAATTGGAGATAAATTAAAGTAGAAAAGATTATCAACACTATTTTTCTTCATTCATGGATCACAAAATGTGGAATTTATATGTTAATTTTTAAGCAGCTGCTATGATCTCCATATACTGTGTCAAACCAACTACCTTGGGGAATGTCTTAAACTCTTAAGACTCATCTCCATATGTAAAGAGGTGGGTAATCCTATACAACACCATCTCCATATGTAAAGAGGTGGGTAATCCTATACAACAACATCATCTCCATATGTAAAGAAGTGGGTAATCCTACATAACATCATTGGAAAGCCAATGATTGCTGAGGCACTGAGCAGATGGTACATTTAATTTCTGACTTCTGAATAGCTTTTCTTTTTTTCTTTTTTGGTTCCTGTTATGTGTCAAGATTGTAAACCACTATCCTCAAACTCCTCCAATGTGACTCAGTTTCTCTGCACACTTCCTTACCTAGGTTGTTCTGGTCAATGGTCTTTTGATTTTTCCCTATTCACTGCCTGGGGTATCCACATGTGTGGATCGCATGCTGTAGCGGTGCTTGAAAAATGCTCATTTCATTATCTGGATTTTAATGTAAGAAAGGTTTTTTTAATACTATTCATATTATGTTTTTAGGGACAATCAGCCATTAGAACAAAAATACTGAGGGGCCGCCTGAGAGTCTCAACAGCGAGGTTTTTCTCAATCTTTACAGAATCATAGCCTGTATCTTTCCCTGTTTTCCCGGATCACTGTTCCGAATGCATCACTAGATGGAGGGCTGTAGCCCACAGGACAGTCTCCTGTAATCTTCCTGCCCAATGAGTTACTGCGTTATTCTAACAGGAGCTTTCCAATGGGACTAGTCGATCTTTAATTAGACATTTACTTTTTGATAATCCAGTATGGTTGGGTGTGTTGGTGGCAAGGAAGTGTGGTGTAGAAAGAGAAACAGATGTGCCAAGTATGTCCTTCAGGGGACAAACGGATATCTATGTGGTCTCCGCACAGGGAGAGAAGGCTGGGGTGGTTGTCTCCTACTGGGCTGGCTAACTGGGCTCAAAACCAACCCACTGCCAAGGAGCCCTGCCTGAGGGAAAAGTGGAAACAAATTCCTGGGCTCTGAACAGATGGGACGATATGCCTGGAAAAGGAGAAACTATTTTTAAAAAGAGAGGGAAATCTGTGATGAGATTATGGCTTCAAAAGAAGACCCGGCACTATATGTCAGCCATGGGAGAAGCCAGTTGAAGGCAGTAACATGTGATCTGGGCTGACTTCATCAAGCCCGCTCATTCCATCATGGACCACCCAATTCAGTTCAGCATGCTCAAGTTGAAGACACAAAGGGAAAGCGCTTGGCCGAGGGGGAAGTTCCCAAGGAGTTCTTATCTTTCCTGCCATCCTCTCTGATGTTCTTGGGTTATCAAGGCTGTAGAAAATTCCAGGGCCTGCTGTGGAGTTGGCATAGAGTCGGTCATACCAAGTGAACCCTCTTTGCTGTGGAAAACTCATAATGCAATGAGTCTACTGTGACTTGAGTGCTACTGTGGGAAAAATAAGCTGAAGAATATTATGGTTGTATTCTGGCTGCTGCCATTTATTATATGCCTGTATTTCACCACTTGTTTGTGTGTCCTCATTTGATGGTTATGGTGTGGAAATTGCTTTCAGCTTGGGAAATTGGCCACAAACTCCCAACAGAAGACATACATAATCACCCTCTTGCTTCCTTCCATTCTTCAAGCTCCACACATGGGCTTCCTAGTCTAGGATAAGTGCAGTCAAAGGGTGAGGTCAGTGCTGCTCCGAGGCTGTAAGTTTCAGTTCCTGACATGTTTCATTTATAATCATGGAGACTATTTATTTGGGGAGCTTTTCTTTTAAAGGGCCAAATTGCCCTACAGATAAATGAGCTGCAGGGCAGTGTAGAAATTCTTGTCCAAATGTTGCCAAATACTGACTTCATAATGGGATCTCAAGCTGCTGTTTATTCATCTGAATGTCTAAAAGCATCCCTGCTTGCTCTCTCTGTTATAGATGGTGTCTTAGCCAGTCTGAGTTTTTTCAATGAACTGATTTTAATATATGGTATTTTTGTATACCAAACTGGTGTCTTGTCCTTTGTATATGTGCTAATGTTCATTTTATGACTACTGTTAAAACACATTTGCTATGATTAAAATTCAAAATGATTTCAAGTAGACTCAGGCATTGGGCTTTTTTTTCCCCCTCCCTACCCCACAAAAGAAAAAAAACAATGACTTGGACTTTTATCATCCTGGAAAATTTTAATAGGTGGGTATTAAAGCAAGAGAGAGCTCCTAAGTGGGGGGTTGTAAGCAGAGGTGACTTTTGAGAAGCTGAAGGATGGGTTTGCAGTGAGGAAGCCGGAGGCTGCTTCTCCAGGTGAGTTCTCGGGGCTTGCGGGGACTTCACCTGTCCTCACTAAGAAGTGACACTACATACTGAGGCTCTGGGGTCAAGGAAGTCACAGCAGACGGCATACAGAGCACCTTCCCGGGCCCTGCCTTTGCCTGCTGGCTCTGGGTCTGGAAAGGTGGCTTCAGATGACTGCTCTTGTTGATGCCAGCAGTGCTTGTGGAGCACTCCTGGTTGGAAAGCATCCTGGCTTCCCATCTCTGATCACATTAAGGAAAGCCAACTCATTTTAGCACACCGTCTCATCCTAATTAGGGCGTTATCAGTGATCTGATCTGCACGGATGCCAGCCAGTATGAGCACGCTTTGTGTCTGTCAGCTTTTAAATTCATCCTCATAGTTTAGTGAGTGAGATGATGACTTGGTGACGGCACAAAGCTCCGCTTTAGGAAGCCTGGGTTCTTGACAGTGTGGAACTTGCTTTTCTTCTTTTACAAACCCCTAGTGCGATGTTCCCTGTCTACAGCGTGGGAGTCGGACAGACATCCCCTTGCTAGTATCACCTGTTCAGACTTGAACTCAACAGCAAGAGGGCAGAGGGTCATGTAAACAAGTTCCTTGACTCCTCCTGGGCTTGGCTCCCATGCCTGGGTTGGGTGAAGATGGTATCTTTGTAGAGTGATGGAGACAGGTTGGAGCAGAGGGGTTCATTGAAAGCCCTTTAGGTGCCTCTTTCCTGATTACATTGTTGGCTGGTTTAGATTTTCTGTGTTGTGTGGCTGGGAGTTTGTTTCTATTAATTCCAGGTAGAAAGGGCAACGACAGACCAAAGAAACAGTTCCACACAAGTCACACAAGTCGGGCTTGGTGAGCCAGCGGTTTGATTGGGATGACTTGGGGGAGCATGGGAAGCTACATCATGGAAATGGAGGCTCCCTCTAACATTTTATCCTCGGGGAGGAGAGAAGTCTCACAAGCTTTCCCCACCATGTTAATGAGCTCAACCTGTGACAGTTTTACCCCAGTAATCACAGCCACCGTGACTTCAAAAGTGCAAATGACATATGGCTGGAAGGAGGAGGAGGCTGCCAGTTCCAGCGACCTTGCCATCCTAGTCTGTCCCTACAGAGGAAGAATGTGTGATAGTCAAGGTCTGGAGGAGTGGATATCACCAGGCCCACGCTCACTCATGCAACCCTCACCCTCAGTCATTACACACACACACACACACACACACACACACACACACACACACACACACACAGAGACAGAGAGACAGAGAGACAGAGACAGGCAGAGAGACACAGAGAAAGAGACAGAGAGAGAGGAAAGGAGAGTACTCCTCACCCTAGGGCAGGGCAGTTGCCTCAGTTTCCACACTCCTTTTGTGTTCGGCACTGGTCTGGGGAGGAGACTGCCGCCCTCCCTGGTGCACACAGTGCGGTGCTGGCTGGGCTGGTCAGGTGCAGGGAAGACCCTCTTTGTTGTGCACAGAGCGGTGTTAAGTTGTTCACGGCCAGGTGAGGGAAGCAACTAGCTCGAGCATTAAGGCCGAGCCTCTGCTTGTCTTTTTATAGGTTTGAAAACTTTTGTGCGGTCTACTTGACCCAGAAAACAGTTCGGCTGTAATTGGATGCAGAGTCTCTTCCTTAACTGACTCCCCTCATCTCTCTTCACACTATTGTGTGTGATTATTTTTTTCTATCATCTTTATTTGAAAGAGTAAGAGACTGTCTGGATGTATGACTTGTGCATTTGTGCACATGTTTGTGGTATATCTGCAGTGTGTGTGTGTGTGTGTGTGTGAGCTTGCATGCATGTGTGTATATACACACTCAGAAGCATTTCATAGGCTCTTAGTACTAATTTTTTAAGGTTAATAGGGTAGAACTCTGAAGCTATCAGAGTAGAGGAAACACTTTATTTGTCTGTGAAGACTATTTATACAGATCATCAGCACAATTAGAGTCATTCTTTTTCTCAGAGCTCCCACTGAATGCTTGGGTCCAGGGGTGCACAGGGCCTGCTTTATTCAGGATGGAAATGATCCCTCTACACTGAGAGAGAAAAAGTGTAAACCTCTCCTCACTCACAGCAAGGGTCGAGGCTGAAGCTCCCATTAAGGAGAGAAATTGAGGGGAAAGAGCATAACAGATGTGTTTTAGCACAACTCTTGACTGACACAGGAAGCTTCATAAATGGCCACTATGGGTTGAGCATGTGGCTCATTGGTAGAGTGTGCAATCAACATGTGCAAATCTCTGAATTTGCACCTCAGCATTCATGTGCGCGCGCGCGCACACACACACACACACACACACACACACACACACACACACACCCTAATGTATTAAAAATCCCATGGAAGAGTGACTGAAGACAAATGAATTCGAGGAGCTGGAGGCAAAAAACTGGAGAGACTCAACAATGGCTTTGTCCAGATTCCTCTTGGAGTCCCTGTACATGGACTTTTTTCTCTTCAGGCACAGGAAGGACACCTGTCACATGACAGTCTTCAGGGCACAATGAAGAGAAGTCAGACTTACCTTTGCAGGTCCCATTGTCTCCTTCAGGCATGGAAAAGTTAAGGGAATCCTGCTCTGTGCTAGACAGGAGTGTCGGAGAGCCTGAGCACCCTGCTTCCTCAGTTTCCCTGGCTTCCTTGACCTTGGAACATTCAGGAAGCCAGGACTATATTCTGACACATTTTATTGTAAACTCGAGTGTGCATACAGATCTTACAGTGTTTTAGCAAATCCAAGCCATGATTCTAATAAATGACACTGTAGCCCAGGATGTCTGGTTCATGTTTTTCCAAGAAAGACAGTAGGCTTGCCTGCTTTGGTAGGAGATATGATCATAGCTTCTGGAGAAGGGGCAATCCAAAAGAGAGGAGACCTTGTTATGTCACTTGTCATGCTCCTGCCACTTGGGCATTGTCTCATGCTCATTATGCTGAGAGATGGCATTCTGTACACCTGTACTGTCTCTTGATATATGTGACGATGGTCTCAACATCATGTCTGCTCTGAATTCATTTGTTCAAATCCTTTGGGAGAGGTGATTAGTTCATAAGAGGAGAGCCATAGTGCATGGGATTAATTCCATCATAAAAAGAGACCCACTTTGCTTTCCTGAAAGGATTAACCAAGGGAGAAGACATGCCCTGAATGAGGGCAACACCAGTACACGGTGTGAGCCAGGATGGATGGGGTAAAAGGGGAACAGGGAGAAAGCCAGAAGCTTGGGCATTTTCTTTGATTTTCTCTGCCTTGGTGGGTGCTTTTCTGCCAAGCCACACCCTCCTTCCATGAAGGGCTGGACCTTTGAAACCAAGAGCCAAAGGAGAGGGCAGGGGAGAGGGTGGGAGGGAGAGGGATAGGAGAGCGGGGAAGCATTGCCTTGCATTCTTTTGCTATGTGGAAGAAGTTAGATGGTACCATCGAAGAACCTAGAAATCCATCCTTACAGACAGACACCGAATCTGCCAGCACCTTGACACTATACTTCTCAATTTCCAAGGCTGAGGGAATAAATTGTGTTTATAAGCCACCAGGTGTATGGTGGTTTATTATAGCAACCTAAACAGACTAAGAAACACAGTTACAGAAACACAGACATGGGTCTATTTCACAGGTGGGTGCTGCTTTTCCCTAAATGATGCAACACAGTGGACATTTTTTTACCTCATTGCGCTCAGACAAGCAGTTCTATTCTTCTATGACTTGTGCAGAAGAAAATAATGTGTGCAGTCTTTTGTTCCAACACTTGTGCAATTCTTTCTGACACAGAGCAGAGTTCAGCACTGCTGGCACTGGAGAGGCACGACGGTCCAGTCAGCAGGCACGCGCTTCCCAAGCTACACTTCAGGACAACGTGTTTGACAGAAGAAAGATTTGCACTGGAGCAAACTGGGAGAATACTAGGTTAAACAGTTTTTAATTTTTAATTATAGACCTTTTCAGAGTCTTTGGTTTGTTCACTAGTTGCGGTTGTCTCAAGAAACAATAGGATGCATGTGTGTGTAGAAAAAGGGACAGAAACAGAGAGGAAGAGAGAGTAACAGACAGAGTTAGAAAGAGATTGTTTTTGGACTCGCTCCATGAAATATGGAAGCTGGCAAGTTCAAAAACTCCAGGGAGATCAATAGGCTCAAGCCCCCAAAGAGGCAGGGTGTTGCAGCTGAATTCAAAGGCTGTCTGCTGGCAGAACGGCTCCTTCCTCCAGGGAGGGCAGCTTTTTGTTGTGGTTGTGTGAAGTGAATTAGACAAGGCCCCTCCACAGCACAATGAGTGTCTCCTTGACTCAGTCACCTGGTATAAATGTGAACCACAGCAAATAACCCTCAGGAACACGTTCCACACTGATATTTGGATATCATGGCCTAGACAAGCTGACATATGAAAGGAACAGTTATAAGATGCTGTGGATGTAGCTTAGTGGTAGGATGTTGACCCTGGGTTTGACCTTCATCATCATAAGATGATTACTGTAATCATCTGTCATGATATCTGTCATGACAACTTCCTCAGTATGCCGAAGCACCCAATGGATCTCCAAAAGGAGGATGCAGTGTTTACCTCCTCCCAGTCACTTAAATAAAGACTCTATCATTGCAGAGCATGTGTTAATGACTGCAGAGCCATAGCCAGATGGATATGGAACTCTTTATCTTTATATATGTGTGCATGTGTTCATGTAGGGGTGAATGCATAGCAAGGTCCTGGAGCACATGTGTGTGGCATGTGAGGGGGCAGTCAGAGGACAACCTTGGGTGTCTGTCATTAGGTGTCTTCTATTTTACATTATTTACCTGGCACTTTG